CCCTTCAGCATCCTCGAAGCTCTCCTCCAACGGAGAGCTTCGAGGATGATGAAGGGACTTGAACATCTCTTCTCAGTGGTGCCCAGAGAGGGTGTGGAGTCTCCTGCTCTGGAGACTTTCAGAAAAGCTCCTCTGGGACCTGCTCTGGCAGGAGGGTTGCACTGGATCATCTCTAGAGCTCCCTTCCAGCCCTCAACATTCTGTGATTTTGCAGTTCTATAACTTAGACCACCCTGAGCTATGCAGTGCTGCAACCCAGCCCAGCACAGCGTGCCCGCAGCCCTCCGGGGACTGCAGCAGAGGACAGAAGGAGCAGCTCCGGCTCAGGCGTTACGCTGCAGAAGCAGCCTTCTGGTGACCTCCACGGCACCTGAACTCAGATACTACTTCCAGCCCGAATCAAAAGCTTTTTAAAGCCCTCTCACGCCGTGCCAGATGTTTTACTTGTCAGAAGTGCCAGAAGAGATAAGGGAGTTACTATCATGATACTACTGGGGAGAAGGGAAGAGAAAGTTGCGCATTTTTCTGAACCACCCGCCTCCCAGGGGCCATGGGGCGGGAGAGGAAAGGAAAGAGATGGAGCAACATACCATGCCGTACAGGAGATCTAAAGCTCGGAGTCGGATAGACTCATCTTTGTCATCCAAACACTGGAGAATGAGATCCTTGTGTGACTGAACGGATTTAGGATGCGTTTTCAGGATTTTCGACATAGCTAACAGTCCCAGGTACTTCACTGTGAAAGACCAAATAAAACTTCTTTCCAAATATAGAAACACTGTTTTGTGCTGAGCATGAAATCTTAATGCCAAGTGCTTCTATTCAAATCAGGTTTAACATACTTGAATAGAAATCTACAATGAGGAAAAGCGTTTTTGAGAAACAGTGCATCACAGATTACAGGCTTTAATTTCCTAATCTCCTATTCAGACACATAATCACATACATAGGCTTCATCACAACCTTCTCACACCTCAGGTTCTAGCATTGATTAAAGAAGTATGTATTTAATATATAGAAACTATGAGTTTTGAGAGCAGGCATCCTAGGACGAAAACACAGCTTTAAAAGCACTGGAGACTGGTGTATTTACGTAGGAGTCCTGTTCTCAATAGGAAAAATTCAGATGGCAGGAAAAAGGTTTGCACAAAAAAGGATTTCCTAGTGTTCTTTGTAGCCATTAAAATAAGTAAACATTCTTGCATTTGACTATTATGCTTACCCTGCCGAAAACCCCTCACTACTTGCCAAGAAACAAGTTCACAAGAAGGAAAAAAATTCAGAGCACAGAAATGGCAAAATTTCAGATTTACAAGACCACAAACAGCAGTAGTAATTAATATGATCTGTGTTAAAAATGCTCATTATGACGAAGTGCTCACTATCAAAAACTACGTCGACATTAGAAAATTAAATATACCCAGCACTACAACACTGCACAGGCTCTTTGGAGAAATTGCTCCAAGGCTGCTGCAATTTCTCCCCGGTGGTTGGCTGCCAAAAGCTTCCACGAAGACAAGCAACATACTTACAGTTCTGGTCAGAGTCTTCGATCAATATCCTTAACTTCTGAACACAAAGCTGGAAAAAAGAACACGTCGTGCTCATTGCAAGTCTTGATTAAAATCACTCTTCATAAACTTTACTCACTACCCAAGGCAGCATTTTGACCAAGACCCAGGTGCTCCAGGTAAGAAGGTCTTGTTGCACTAATGGTTTTCAAAATAAAAGGAAACTCTGATTGCATTAACAGTGGCAGCTGAATAAGAGAGTTAGGAAAACTCTGAAGGAGAAGAATCTGCATTTTAGACCAAAGAAAATTAGACAGTTTACATAGGAAATGCTTTGGTCTGCAAGATTCCACCCGAGTGAGAGTCCTTCAGGGAGCTATTGCTTTAACTTTCAGCACAGGAACACCATCCCATCTCCCCAGGTATCAGAGCAGAGCAGAAGAACAGCTCCCACCAAACCCCGGGGCCGTACCTGGATGCTGGCGCTGTGATTAGGCATCCCCGAGGACAGCGAGATCAAAACTGAAACGCACAAGCACAAACCTCAGTTAGCATTTCCACATTCTAAACCAACGAACAACCCAGCACCTGGAGGTCAGGAGCTGGCTGGGCTCACCGGAAAGACAGCAGTTTATGTTGGTGTTTGTCTCTTTGAACTTTTTGGGGGGTTTGGGAGGAGCTTCAGATACCTTAGAAGTAATAATAGCAGGGCAGGGATAAAAACAGTGTAAAGGTAGGACCTGCTGGAACAGCTGGGTCAAAGCTGCTCCTCATTATGCTTTGCTCTCCTTAAGGTTTACTTCACCGATATCTGCAGCCTTGACAGCTACGTGACGTGTCACCAGCTACTGCGCAGCTGGATTTTCAAGTGTGCCCTTCCCTCGTGATGCAGAGATGGATCCTTCAGTCTAACGTAATTATGTTGGAGCTTTAATCAAGCCAGCCAGAAGCTCGAGGCACAAAGCCAGTTGATTGTACTGGACATTTGTAAAGCTCTGGTAACACGCAACCCCGCAGCACAAAGGGTGCCGTGAGCTTGTTAACTGCTGCTGTCACGCAGGATGGCCATAACAGTGACTCCGTCACATGTGCTGACCTTCGTGACCACTAAGCACGGCGGCAGTTTGCCCTCTGTAATCCTGCGGAGCTACGTTTCAGAGAAGGCGCGTTGGCAGCCGCCCTTCCAGGCCATGCCAGGAGCTGGCAGGTGCGAAGAGCTGCTCTAACACAGCCGCACGTCGCATTTTCTGAATTGTGCACATCAGAGCCCCGAGATGTCCCGGGTGTGGGAACTTCCCTTTGACCCACGGAATTATCCTGCCGTAGCTCCGTGAAGCACGCTCTCATCCACAAGGGCATTAACCTCCGTGTTATTTTTTCCCCTCCCACCACAATGTCGCCTCACACTTCCCTGAAGGAATGAACGAGTGTGCAAAGTGAGTGACAGATCCCCCTGTCCTCCGGGAAGTCCCCCAGTACAGCACCTTCCTGCACCATCACCCCAGCTCCCCTCGAGGGACAGGCTTACGTCACACCGTGCATGTCGGTAACTCTCTACTTCCACACTAGGACAGGAAAAGTGCCGAGGCTGGGCTGGAACACCGTGTTATCCCATTAGCCTTTTGTTCCTCTCTCCATCCCCATCACATCCCTTCCCCAGAAACCCAAACTGTAAATCTGGGATTCCAACCTCCTCCTTTAAAGAACCACACCAAGTTTTCAGGCTCAATTAATTAAACTGTAGAATCAAAAACTAAGTCTGCTCCTTTATCACACAGGAAAACTTTGTCAAGGTATCAGTGAGGCATCACAATTACTTTTTTAAATTCGATTGCTGATACATTTCATAGTTCTAGCAATGTTCAGGAGTTTGCACTTTGTTTCAGCCTTTACAAATAAAACATAGCTCTAGTAACTCAGCCCCACGGACTGACAACAAAGGATTTCAGTTACACAGTAACTGACTTATTTCAGTTACAAAATACATTAAGTTAAAAATGTCTACAGATGGTGTTAAGCGACAACAAAGTTCATCATGTTGCTTTTCTAGGTTACAAATTTCAGTTCTCACCTGCTATTACTGTGTTCACACATTCATACAAGAGAGACATGGCTGAGGTGCTGAAAGAGAAATCAAGGATTTTAAATAAGGAATAAAGCCGGCACATTTTGAAGAGTTGTCAGCAGTATCTTGGAGCTAGTTAACACCCTTAATTGCACAAGAAAGTGCCAGTATTCTGTTCCATATCCCTTCGAACTAGATGAAGTAATTCTCACAAAAACTGTTGAGGGAAGGGTTTTTTACAAAATAAAAAAGGAAATCTGAAAAGTACCAGCACTGTAACATGGGGAATGAAGGAGGACGCGGTTACTCAAGAACTCAGTACCAGCTCCAGAGCACCGAAGCAATCTCATCCAAGGATCAAACTAAATCCTCCGCCCAAGGTCAAAAAAGCCCCGATAAGGCAGCCAGATAGGGAGCCTCAAGCCTCTCTCTGCAAAGCAAACGAGTCGGCACGTGCTCGCTCAGCCCCATAAGCGAGCGGCCCGTTTCCAAGGCCCCGTTTCCCCCTAAACTTCGAGTCCAGGCAAGTTTTGCCAGTTGAGCGCACACACGGTGCAGTTCTGAGGATTCCTGAGGTAGCTGCACATCCTGATCTACACGAGAGGGAACCTCACAACTAACACCGGAGCAGGCTCCAGCAGCGAAGTCTGTGAAGGGAAGGAGCAAACAACTCCGGGGCAGCACCAGGAGCGGCAGCGCGCAGGTTGCTCGGCACGCCGCGGGCGTGAGGCCAGTCCGCTCGGAACAAAGACAATTGCTTTTGCTCCCTGCGTGCTCTGTGGCGGACGGCAGGGGGTTTTGCCTCCTGCGTAAGGGATACGAGATCCAAAATGACTCAAACCGGACAGATTTAAGTCCTCCCAAGTAATAACACGAATGACTAACACGGGAGCTGGGGAGAGGAGGCAGGACTGGAGGCACGCTGTCCGGCTCCCTGCTTTTTCTGGCAAAGTACTGCTTCTGGTGAGTTTGTATCTATGTGCCACTGCTGTGAACACCCTCTTTAGGTTTTTGGGTGCAGGACTGCTGGCTGGCGTGCTCCCACCCAGCCTTAAAGGCAGGAAGACAGACAGAAATTGTTTGGGTAGCACTGCTCTCCCAGCTACACGGATATCTATTTAAAATCTGTCCATTCTCATTTCTCTTCTTGCTCTGACATGTGAAGAAAAATAGACCTAATCTAACAACCCCTGCACAAGGTCACACTTGCTTTTCATAACTGGGAAAATACTTGCATCTCCTCCAAGACATCTACTTTCTGATGTCAGTTCAGAACTAGACCCAAACCAACAAACCAGCTTTAAAAAGGGACAACGAAAAATCGTCCAATTTGTCTAATCTATGTTTAGGACATCCTTTAGGTAAAGGAACCTCCTCCCAGACATGTCTGGGCTGAGATAAAGGGATGACAAAGAACTTTACTAAATTCCTTGTCCTGCTGCTTTGGTGGGTAAGGCACTTCCAAAAAAGTCAAGAACTTCATGTGCGTAGGAGAACAGAAGAGGCAAATACAGAGCTGAGCCTTTTCTAAGCCAGAATTTATGTATATTGTCCATAGTCATCTCTGGCTTAAAACAAAGAGAAAGGAAAGCCAATTGCTCCAATTTTCACGCATGCCTGGGAGAAATTCATGCTGACAGTCGGACACCTGGAGACTTTTCTTTATAGTATTTTCTCTTACTTGGGTTTTTCAGAAATAGTCCTGATGTGCTTCTTTTTTTGACACACGAAGCCAATGTATCGAGACTCAAAAAAAAAGTTCAGAAATGCCTACACAGACACTTCACCAAACCTGAAGGAAGAAACTAATATTTGCTGTACATACCTATGGATGAGGTTGGTCAGAGGCTCAATCAGTTTCTTTCCCAGCCTAGGTTCTAATGGAGTAAGAGCACCGAACTATTAAAAAAAAAGTGCAGACAAGAACATTATTTAATAGCTGCTTTTAAATTACAGCTCATTATATTAAATCCAAACTACATTAAGTTATTTCTTCCCCTTTAGTTATGTTTGTAAACACGAGTTTCTTTTTATTCAAATTTTAAAGGTAGCACTACCTCCAAGCAAGAAACCTGTTTCTGCACCCAAGGTAATTTTAATGAGGACCCCAATCCTGTGAACGTAGATCTCGAATACTTGCCAGTTTTATAATTTTAATGAGAACCCAATTATTGGTTGACGATGTCATCAACTTGAAAAAGAGTGGAGCAAGGGAAAGGTAGTTTTTGGGATTGCGTCGAGCCAGCTCACAAATAACGTTTACCGCAGCAGACTGCACACCTGGGAAAAAGAAGTGGGAAAATCAGAAATCTCATCAACGCCTTAATTGTAATTGAAGTTTCAGGTGCAGAAGCCCCAGCACAAAACCAGATAAAGATTCAGACTTGTGTGACCAAGAGGAATGGTTCCTTCTCATTAGCAGCCATGACATAGCGAACTAAGCACAATAAGGCAAAAACAAACTGAGAAAGGATTTTATTCAATTTTGGCTCTTTTCTAATGTATCAGCAAGCTGGGTATCTGCTTTGTGAGTTACACACAATATGATAATCAATAATTTTACTCACTATAAAGTTTCCAAACACTCCCACTTCTCTGAAGTGTATTAGACATGTTTAAACACAACACAAAAATGATGAATCCTTCAACAATCTGACTAAACAGGTTCACTCCCGTCTAACTGCTCAGTCTCTAAACTGATTGTTCTTAATTTGGAATCTTCTAATATAGATAGTGTGAGTTTTCTCCATAAAGTAAATCTGCAGGTGAGCGGCGGTGTGGTTTGCTTTCTTTAAAAACATTGTCCCCAAGAGATCATAGAATCACAGAATGTTGGAGGTTGGAAG